GTGTGAGTGACGGTCAGTGTGTGTGTGAGTGACGGTCAGTGTGTGTGAGTGGCGGTCAGTGTGTGTGTGAGAGTGACGGTCAGTGTGTGTGAGAGAGTGACGGTCAGTGTGTGTGAGAGTGTGACGGTCAGTGTCAGTGTGTGAGTGTGTGAGAGAGTGACGGTCAGTGTGTGTGTGTGAGAGTGACGGTCAGTGTGTGTGTGAGAGTGACGGTCAGTGTGTGTGTGAGAGTGACGGTCAGTGTGTGTGAGAGTGTGACGGTCAGTGTCAGTGTGTGAGTGTGTGTGAGAGTGACGGTCAGTGTGTGTGTGTGAGTGTGACGGTCAGTGTCAGTGTGTGAGAGAGTGTCGGTCAGTGTGTGTGAGAGAGTGACGGTCAATGTCAGTGTGTGAGAGAGTGTTGGTCAGTGTCAGTGTGTGAGTGTGTGTGAGAGTGACGGTCAGTGTGTGTGTGTGAGAGTGACGGTCAGTGTGTGTGTGTGAGAGTGACGGTCAGTGTCAGTGTGTGAGTGTGTGTGAGTGTGACGGTCAGTGTCAGTGTGTGAGTGTGTGTGAGAGTGACGGTCAGTGTGTGTGTGTGAGTGTGACGGTCAGTGTCAGTGTGTGAGAGAGTGTCGGTCAGTGTCAGTGTGTGAGAGAGTGTCGGTCAGTGTGTGTGAGAGAGTGACGGTCAGTGTCAGTGTGTGAGAGAGTGTTGGTCAGTGTCAGTGTGTGAGTGTGTGTGAGAGTGACGGTCAGTGTCAGTGTGTGAGAGAGTGACGGTCAGTGTCAGTGTGTGAGTGTGTGTGAGAGTGACGGTCAGTGTGTGTGTGTGAGTGTGACGGTCAGTGTCAGTGTGTGAGAGAGTGTCGGTCAGTGTGTGTGAGAGAGTGACGGTCAGTGTCAGTGTGTGAGAGAGTGTTGGTCAGTGTCAGTGTGTGAGTGTGTGTGAGAGTGACGGTCAGTGTGTGTGTGTGAGAGTGACGGTCAGTGTGTGTGTGAGAGTGACAGGGAGTGAGGGTCCTGTACCTTTGCGGATGATGGGACAGCGTTTACAGACCACCAGGAGCTTGGCGATGAGTTTATTCCGAACCTGCCGCGTCCTCAGATCGCCGGCCTTGTAGGTGTTAATGATGGAGATTGTGGCCTGGAGGCTGTGGCCATTCGGTACCAGGTTCAGTACTTGTCCTGAGATCACTGGGAGAAGGAACAGTGACCAGTCAGTGATCCATCACTACCCTGGCTCATACTGTCATCACGCAACCCACTGGCTCCCTGCACTCCACTGGCTCACCGCAGACCCACTGGTTCACCACAGTCCACTGGCTCACTGCACCCCACTGGCACACCGCGACCCACTGGCTCACCGCAACACACTGGCTCACCGCAGACCCACTGGCACACTGCACTCCACTGGCTCACTGCAGTCCACCGGCTGTATGCTTCCACTGGGTGGCTCAATGTCCAGCGCTGGGCCCCAGTGCGTCTTCACTGGATTCCACTGTGTAACAGTCACAGACAGGAGGCCATTCTGCCCAACCATGCCCTCCCTCCAAGCTGCCTGCAGTGCGATCCTATAACGCCCACCCCCACCCGCCCCCACCACACCACTCCCCTAAAGGAGGGTCCAGCAATTGTCCAGAGGGGACCCCCTCGATTTCCAGACACACGATCCAGGGCAAACCTGCCCCAGCCAACCAGGCTGCCCTGATTACCGTTGACCCCGACCCCAATTGGCAGTGGGGGATGGGAGCGTGGGGGACGTGGGGGGTGCTTGGTGGGGGGGGGGGCTTCTTACCGAAATTGCTGCCGCAGAAGTTACTCTGTAGTGTCCCCTTACGGCGGCATTTCATTCGACAGATGGGGTTTCCTGCTGGTCCTGGGGGGTGGGGGGGGGGGTGCAGAGTGTTGGGGACATCATTAGCGAGAGCAAGCACAAAGACAGAGACCCATACAGAGCACCCCACCTCCACCTTCCCCCCACACCCCACCCCACCCCCAGCAAAGCAGGACAGAGACCAAAACTAATCCAACAACAAACTGATCAGGGCCCTCCTGGGGCAGGTAGGGGGTTACTGGGCGGGGAGGGATACAGGGAGGGGGAGCTGGGCAAGAAGGGGAGAGGGAGGGAGGGAGAGAGAGGGAGGTGGGGGG